AAAATAAAAATAGGTCAACACAAAGTCTGTGTAAAATATCTAAGTCCATTGGTAGGAATGATTGTAATATCGAATTGAAAGTTTGACATACTTCAAAATATCATTTGACAATAAATTGTTTCGACCTCGAAGATTAAATTGTATACAACCAGTCGATTTATGGTTATATCAACGGTTCAATTTCGACATTTATAAACAAATTTTTAAAAAAATATGCCATTTTGAGTTAAACCAGATTTAATACACACGACTATTGTTGAAATGTATTAGATAATACAATTTTTAGCAGTTCGGTACAAATAAATTATAAACAAATAAAACAAAATATAACAAATAAAATAAAACAAAATAAAACAAATAAACAAATAAATCTAGTAAATAAAGTGAACAAGGTTTTTTTTTGTGTTATGCATTACAATAGATTTATGTTAGGCCAAGAAATAGAGAAATAAAATTTTTTGCAATTGGCGGAAAAAAATCCCAATCAAGTTTTATTTTTAAAAAAATTTAATAAAACAAGTTCTGTAAAATACTAAAAGTCCCCGTGGATCGGACTTGTGGTTTATTTTTTATAAGCTCATGAAAGTTAAAAAATGTGGGATTTTTGAATATTTTAATAAATATTACAATTATAAATTCAAATTAAGTAAAAGAGTAAAAAAAAAAATTATATTATACTTTTATCTATTATAACAGAACTCGCATTTGCATTTGTGTTGCAAATATATCTCATTTGCTTATAGGGTAAAAAGTAAGTAAATCTATGCCAAACGTTTCAACATAAATTGAAGAAATCAAACAAAATCGGTACTTTGATGTTTTGGACGAATAATTATTATTTTTTTCATTACGCTTTTCTGAGCGTGAGGTAAAGTTGCTTGGTAATTATGTGAAGTCACGAGAGCGTAGGTGCTCATATTTATTTTAACACGATAAACAACTGAATTCTAAAAGGCTTATGTATAGTTTTAGTGCGTTCAAATGCTATATTGTATATAAACACATATTGTACACCACGAGTTAGTACGTAAACGATATTCCAAAACGGTCCACTGAAGGCCATGTCGAGTAATATGTTTGGTAATTCGCGCGGACGTGAACCTAAACGGCCAAGCCATACAAGTTTTTAATTCGTTTTATTCGTTTTCTGCCAGGTTATTATTAATATTTTCATTATTTGTAAATATCGTACAGAATAATTTACGTCTGTGTTTTTTTCAAAGTAACTTCGGAAAACACTACCAATACCCAACAATTAATTTTACTAACGAAACAGTACAGTTATTTTAGGTAACTCTTTGGTTTATATAAATGAAATACTTAGAAAAAAAAAACAAATTCCAATCATTTCGGTTAATCAATAAAAATCATTGATATAGTTTATGAAAAAATTGAATAATAACTATAATCATTTTATTTATTTTATTTTAAATTAGTGTTAGTTACAAATTTTGTAAACACTGAATAATAATTGATTAGGATGATATAATCACAATGTCTGCATACAAATTACACATCACAACATTTAACATTAATATTATTTAGTCGGGGTGCTCTTAAGATTATAGAAAATAATAAATATTTTAAAACACGTAATATATTTAAGATACGTAATACAATTTTACTGTTGAGTTATTGATAACCTACACCATAGTATGTTTTTGATTCACATCAATCTACAATACTGCTTAAATATTTCAATGTTAATTTGAAATGCAATGATCTATCTAAATACTAAAATATCAGAAATACAACTAAAAACTTATACTGTAACCAATTTTTTTAGTGTATATCTTTACGCCTCTAATCATTTAAGAGAAAATTGAATGTTCACAAATTACTCCAGCGGCAGTTTAAATTTCTTTTTCTATGTTAGTTTTTGTGTCTTATGATTTTTGATTTATTCAAACTCTACATAGAAAATCTAAGAAAATAAAAACTACTGAATTGTTGTAAAAACGAATATAGTGCAAATTTAAAAAACTTCAAAGATTCACGTGATATGTAAATAAACGAATCCATTAATATTCTTACATACAATATTTATCATGTGAAACAAGAAAATATTTTTTGTATTGTGTGATTGCATTTTTTTCCCAATATTTTTTAATATATCTGTTGTTTATTTTTTCAATCTTATCTAACATATAGTTACAAAGATTTGCTATTTGTTAGATAGTGTCATTTATACTTTGGTGTGAAATTTCCTCGAATGTATCCTCGCCAAAGGGTACATAAATAAAAATACGACCATGACAGGATTTATAGCTTTACTTTTTTTTTTCCTTTTTGACGTTTTATGTATAGCCGAACAACATTAATAAATCTTCAATTTAACCTACGTATTCATTGACAAAATTACATTTCGGGCCAACCGGACCGTGGCTGTAAGCACGAATACAGCCTGAATGTAAAATTCAACACAAAAACGATATGGAAACGATTGATGATCATGGTCAACGTGATCAACAATCCGGATCACCCGCTTATTTTCGTAGGACGGACTGAAAAATAGTCTCGAGTGATTGTTCTTAATCGTGTTTGCGAAAGTGGTGCGAGGTGGGCGTAAGTGATCCGCCGTAGAGGGTGATAGTGCACCAACCGGTGGTATTGGGTCGATATCGAAATCCCGTCAAGGACATAAAAGTCAGCCCCACAGAGGTTCTGGAGACGAAGAATGTCGAGAGCGGTCCGATGCGCTGTTCTCCCGATGCGTATGATTCGACGATAACGCTCGTTTTGTAGCCAAAGACTGACTAACTTTGGATAAGCCGGTACCTACCTCTTTTTTATCGTTCTAAGCCCACGACAATTAGTGTGACCAAAGAACTACCTATTCCGATCCGCAAACCGATTCTTCGTCGAACTTTCGAGATGACGTATCGCACCGAACGAAACGAACCGACATCGGCGTTGGACGCGGGCAACTTTAAGAAGACGGATTCGATTGTTTCGTCGATTCGATTATTTTTCTTCTTTGGGTTTTTAGCTGTTTTCGGACGATCGAATCGTCGCTCACAATGATAGTCCGCGTACTCGACGTATAAAAGCGGTACGGAAAACGTACGCGGACCGCGGTCGGATACAAACATAACATAATTTATTAATAAAATATATAATTATAATAATAAATATAGTTTCAACATAATAATAAAACGGGCACTGCACGTGTACCTGCGTGTATACACAGGTGGGCTCGTGCACGCGCGGAGCGCATCAATTACGTGCAATGTGATTGATTACGAGCATCGGATCCACACTCAACGACGAAATACTAAAACGGAAATGAATTTTTCTCCATTGCGATAAAAAAAAAAAAAAAAACCACAAAATTACGTTTTACCGTACAGTTGATTTTCACACACACGCACACGTGCGCGTACACAAACGAAATACGTTGTAAACTTGTGTGGCTATGTTCCGTGTGTATTTTTTTACATTGATTTGTTACTTGTCACCGATTTAGGTCCAGGATAACGGTACATAACAGTGCTACCGTTTATAATATTGGTCGATTGTGCGCACAATTAATATTACATTACATAACTTCTTTTATTGTTATTATTATTATTTTTTCATCATAAAATATTAAACGGTTAGTACATTGATCATTTGCATGCTCAGTAGTTATTTATTTATTTAAAACATAACGTCGAAAGAATTTCATAGGAATTTTACCCATCGGTAATACTTCCGAACATTATTTAGTTTGATTCACGATTATTTAGTGTAGTAGATTTGGATTTGGATTTCGGTGAGAAAGTTTGTCGGGTATATACGATGTATTTACAAAAATTCCGATAAATACAACAGTATAATGTTTTACCCCCCATGACCACGTCTAAAATGATCAAGTGAAAAAACATATAAAATAACAATGATTTGTCAAAAGTTTAATATGAGATTACGACTACTGTTAAATATGACGTGAGGACTATTCGATATTTCATGATGATCGAAAAATCGATTATGTATTTAAAGGATCTGTTGAGTATTCATAGGGATAATTAAAAAAGTTCTGTGGTGACTATGTGTGCATATTTATGCAAAATAAATTGTACCAAACATACTATGTGATTAAAACAATTTACAATTTGTAAATTTGTACAAATGCACAAAGTGTACTACTGCGCGTGAAATTGGAATTATCGTTGTCAAATTTCTATTACAATTATTACAAATGATAATTATTTTTAACGTAACACATTTCTAACTATTTATTTGCTATAATTCGATTAAGATAGCTATTTAATTTGGATTTTTTATGAATTTTTAACTAAAAATTTCTAAAAAAAATAATTTGACACGTATAAAGCATAATCCAATCTGCAATAGTCTTGTTTGTATAAAAACTCGGTTAGACTCAATAATTGCAGTGGCACTCGAGTTTAAAAGTGGAGCCGGCAGGCATAGCGAGTGAAGTCAAAAAATGAAATTTAAGTTTTATTGTTCCGGAAAAAATATTCGATAAAAATGTATTTGACAACGTTGCACAGAAGTTAAGATTTTGCAGCAGGCACAATCGTACCCCTAAAAAGGTACTGCCGATAAAAGGATCGCACGTAATCGTACGGTACCCATTGCGGTGGTGCGATCAGTCACCGTATGTGGAAGAGTGTGTAGGAGATTATCAATGTGGCTTTAGAAGAGAAAAGTCAACAACAGAGCAACTATTGTTCATAGGATAGATCAAGAAAAAATATGAATATCGACAGAATATGTGGCAGTTGTATATAGATTTTAAAAAAACGTACGATAGTATACATAGAAATAGCTTGTATAAAATAATGCTTGAATTTGGCTTCCCCTATATAATTACGATTAAGTTAACTAAATGTTTAGCTGATTATTTATAATATTATAATGTTACATAGATAATACAAATAATAGCTTAGAAATTAATAATTATTTTAACGATTGATAAATTGTAAAGACCATTGTTTTATAATAGCAATTTATAATATCGTGTAATTTTCATTTACTGGCTATTTATTAAACAGCTGAATAACATCCGGTTAGTCGAAACCATGAAAACGTACGTGTGTACTCCGATTGCCTATCTCATCTCATTCGTAGATTTCTACTAATTTCACGCGTACTCACGGTTGAAAACGGTCATCTTGAAGCCTTCGCTATTTTCGTCTGTCACTGACCATTTACTTATTACTCTTTCGCAATGGAGAGAAAACAACAGGAAGACAGACAACGCATGTTGATGAACCTTACCCGCCACCAATGCACCGATTACAGACGCCGCCCGGTTCATAATGGAGGACGACAGATGGAAGGAACCGCAGGACGCCGTTCGACCATGGAATACGTGTCGAACGTTCAAGACAGACGATCACGTCCATTCTTGGTCGAAAGAGGCAATCGTAGTTACGGTAAGAGTAATAATAATGTTTTTCGTGCTAGGGATGTTCACAGGGACCAAGGGTCGAACAAAGTACAGTGGATCGGCAGGCAGCCAGAGTCGGGCAGCGGAGATACATCCGTGCCGCCGTTCCGCCGGTCGTCATCGTCACAGACGCGGCGCGCAGGATCCGGAAAAACGCTGCTCGTACACGGGCTGGAAGGCAAAATCAATTGCGACATGGTATTCAATATATTCTGTCTATACGGCAACGTGACTGCCGTGAAGATACTTAGAAAAGGACAGGTTCTCGTCGAACTAAACGACGTGGAGGCCGCCAAACGTTGTGTGGCTTACCTGCACTTGTTGCCAATGGATCAACACAAAAAGTTGAAAGTCAAGTAAGCCATCAATTTTCAAATGTTTGGATCGTAACAGTCTCGGTTTTGGGGAATTTTATTTATATGCCAATCTTGATTCTCGCCATCTGTAAGAAAAACATTTCCAATAACACTAAATACACCAAGAAAAAAAAAGTTAAAATTGGCGGCCCTTAGACGTTCATCATTCTATGTCACTCGTACAGGTGTGATTTCTATGCGTATCGTATTCGGTTATTTTGACCCAAATGTATTGAATGAAATAAAATAGTATAGTTATTCAAAGCAATTTCTAAACGTTTTTTATTTTGAAATTTGAAAGTTAAATTTCTAATGTATTAATTCTTATCGTTGACTACAAGAGCATTTGAATAATTATTATACCTGTCGACATCACATGATTTCCATTGGCCATTTCAGATATTCCAATTTTTCTTATATACGCGACCAAGGAAAAATCATCAGACTGTCGGACGGGACGCCGGCACAGAAATACTACGATACCAGTAAACTGAATAGGTTTTCGTACATAAAAAATGTTGTAAACGAGCGTCGAATCGCAGCACCGTCGAAGGTAAATTTATATATATATATTATAACGTTTAAGTTGACGCAGTGGTGTATTTATTGAGAGGTTCGTAGTTGTTTCCCTTAGTTTCTTCTTACAATCACCTTGACGCAGTGATGTATTTCCCGAGAGGCTCGTATTTGTTACCCTAAATTTCTTCTTTTTTTGTTGTAATTGACGTTTAAAATCTGAATCGATAAGACGAGAGAAATTATTTTACCTTTTATTATAGAACTCAATTGAATTACCAATACAACTAAAAATATATTAGATACGTAAATAGAGTGATATGAGTAAGTAGACACTCTCTCGCCCCTACCTAACGAAAAATCCTAAATATATTACTGCGTCGACGTATTGATATTATATACTGTTATAATAAATAATTCAAACTGCTCAATAGATTTTGCATTTCTTCAATACACCGTTGGATATTAGCGGCTCGCAGATTCGTACGGCAGTGATAAACACCCTCGGTTGCAAGGACGCGGTCCGATCGATAACAATTTGTTAGTCGTTCATCGAAACACTTTGATTTCACGCGTGACAAATATGCGCAGTGATTTTATTGTTTTCTTTTGTTTCAGTACCTCAAAAGCAGCCCGGTGCTAAATGTTCGACGGGCCTTTTGGAAATGAAAAGCGTCGACCTGGCGGCCAAGGCTATACTGTTGCTGAATCACATGCAGCTAGAATCATCGAGTACGTTATTGATATCATTTGCCTTGTCGTCTAATGTTTATCACTCGATGGCTTATATGTTTGTGGTAGGATCCGAATTCCCGTTCCTGATGAAATTATGCTTTTCGAAATGGTCGAAGATGCAGCAAAAGTCCGGGGACTCGACCGCCCTGATTTTCAACACCACGTCGCGCAACACTCCTTGGTTGTTCCACAGATATGAACTCGAACTCGTATCCACGGTGAAGTATAAAGTGTCACGGGTAACTCGAGCGACCGATGAAGACGTTACCTGGACGTTATGGGATACGAGGGACCTTGTGACGGAGGCCATTGACCCCGAAGCCGAAAATCCCGTAGACGCCCAGTATGGATCTAGTGGTGTGTCGGGTACGTTGCCAGAACCTGCAGACCGTGCAGCCGGGACTGCCGGTTGACGCGTAAACATTCGGAAATCTGTTTTCGTTCATCCTGTTCGCGATGCAACGTCGATAAACTATTTGAACGAATAATAAAATATAACTATATAATGTGTTACTCCTATTTACGCGGTGTACTTTCATTCCATCCGTATTCAAGTAAATAATAGAAAAATAATTTGATAACATAATTTTGTTTACAATATTCATTTTTGAGCATAGTCGAGAAAACGTAGGTGGTGGGAGTATACGCCATATCCTACGTGAGTCCGGCGAGTGCTTCCAAATCGTTCAAAACGTTCGCATCGAACGTTTTTCGTACTCAGCACTCGTGGCAAATGTGAATCCGACATCGTAGTGAACGACGATACATACTTTACTGAAATACGAGTGCATAGTTTTAAAAAACTTTTTAAATTTAATTTAAGAAGCAATTTATGAATATAATATTTAAAAATATTAAATTGTATTAATTTTCTAAGACAATAATTATGAATTAATTATAATTAATGATCTAGGTAATAAGTAGCAACCGTTACCTACTATTTATTTAAAATTGTATTTAGTATATTTTAATGAATAGATTAAAAAATAACTGATCTGTATTTAGTAGGCATATATATTTAAATAATTTAACTATAGATAATTTTAACTATCATAACAATAATTAAAATAATAATGTATATATATTATACTTATTTAATTCATATTTTATAGTTTATCTATTATTTTTGTACACTCTATTATATAGATAGATATGGATATAGAGTCTATATCTAAATTAGTTTATCACACATTTACAACATTTATAAAAAAAAAACAGTTTATTATTTATTATCAGTCTTTTAAGTACAAATAATAATAGTATCCATGGAAATGCTATTATTAGTAATTCCTCTTCTTTCGAAATCGAGGGTGCATAGTTTTTTATTTGATTCAAAACAATTCGCATGGTATAAATGCAAGTGACAAAAGAATTCCAAACTAATTTGTGTTATTTTAAATAAGACGCTCTTTCAAATTAAAATTGGCCACACGTTGAGAACCACTGCTGTATACAGAAAATAACAGTATTTTATCGTCTCATGACCAAGAACATCGCTTTGTAACACGGGAAATCGTAAACATTTTATTCAGGTGATTATTTCATATACTATTAGTAGTAAAAATTGTAATCTCATTACGGAATTCGGATCAATTTATGACTATCCTGAACGCGAAAAAATGGCTGAATTCCAATCTGGCAGTGGACCCGCAGTCGGAAGAATGCAATATGTGAGCGATGGATAAGAAATGAAATAGGGAATGCGACTAATGTTGATTGCGACTCACCGGTCTACGAAGATGAAATACTCAGGATTTTCGACAGACTACTGTTATAATTCAACATGAAAGGAAAGAAAAAATTAAGAAGATAGAATATGGAAGAAAGACGAAATGGATGAGGAGAAGAGAGTAGGGCGAGAGATATGGATATGGAATTGAATTGAATACCTACCTTCCTGTTAGGTATTCCGGAGCCACAAATATTTGAAAAACAATCAATGCAACTGGACAGTCTTGGAAGCTAAATATAATAGCACTTACTCCTAATCGTAGTCAGGTTTCGGATATCAATGAGCTATTCAATCACTTATGATTATTTCAGGAGTAGAGCAAGGTTGAAATAAAGTGAAATCGACACAGAATTTGATGAACTGATGTTTGACACTTGTTGATACACGTATGGAGAATGCTAATTTTAAAATAAGAGTGAAATATTAAATATTTGGCAGTCAATACGCACATATTGATGACCTATTTATCAAGCCACGGTAGTCGGTACCCATGCAAGGACGGACTTGCCACAAGGAGTTCTTTAAAAGGTCTGGAGAATGTGTTGTATACTTGAGTATAGCGAGATAAAAGTTATTTTATCAAAATTTGTATCTTTTAAAGGTTGATCAATGAGAAATCCAAATCGGTATATTGCTAAATGTATACCTTATTAATTTATATATGTTTTCTACCCGCGTATAGAAAGAACATTTATCTATTAATTTCTAAAATGTGACAATGTCGAATGATGTACATCGTTACGTCCATCTTACACTTTTTTATTACGTCCTCACACCAACGCTCATAGACGAGAGTGAGAGCGATATAAAAATTTATAAGTTTTTTTAAAGTGGGGATAAAAATAGAAAATGAAATAAAAGTAGAAAAGGAATGTTTTTTTTTTCTCTGAATAAAAATACTATTGTTACACGTTGAATTGAATTAATTTTTTTCATAAATAACCGAGATTGTTTATAAACACAAAGTAGGTATATTAAAACTATAAAAAAAAAAAAAATTAAAATATTAATTAAAATTAATTTATTATTAACTAAAATACATGCATTAATTTATATTTACATTTATGTATATTTTTCTTGGGGTTTCGAATAAATACGTTTTGTTAGTTATAAGAAAGTATTTTATCCACTGTGATTGGACAATACAATTGTTTTGTTAATTTTGATACCAGATCCAAAATAATAACAGGTCATAAAACATTAATGAGATTCGGGGTTTACTAATTAAATATTAAAATTTCAAAAGTCGCAGAACTTAAAAACAAATATTTTACATAATGGTAATATTTGTAATACATATTTATATTGTTTTTCTGTGCATGTAATATAGTTTTAAATTGTTGCAACTCTTTTGTATTGATAACATTATAATGTGTACTTCAGAGCAGGTCCTAAGAATTTTTAGGGCATGGAACTAATTCGATAATTATGATAATATATGATTAAGATAAAAAGATACACTTCAAGTTTGCTAAATTTTTGTAAATATAGTTTTCCAAATCTCAATCAATCAATGTAATTTCAATGCATCGATATAATTAATAAAAAAATTAATAACTTCTCAGCAATTTATTATCAGTTACCATAATTAATAAAAATTTAATTTATTTTTAGATATTTTCTAAACAGTTGTAGAAAATAAGAACTTGGTTGTTGTCACGTAAATTTGGATAAAATTGTATCGTCCTTCACACACCGGAAATATTCATAATAAATTATAGTTAAAACTATTTATAAATTAGAATAATTGAAAATGCAATGTTAAAATGCTTAGTTATAAATTTAACTTTATTTAACTAAATGTATAAATATTTCAAAAAGAAAAATAATTTAAAGGGGTCAAATTTTCATTTTCCTAGACTGGGCTTGGGGAATATCATCCAGTTACCCTCCACCATCGTTATGATGGTTTTGCTTCGGAGTATCTTAACTAGTACGAATTCACCGTCACATTTTGTTGATTAATATATTTATTTAAGAAAATTAATCGTTATAACAGTAGTATAAATTTAAGTTTTGATAATTTCATACTTTTAGAACTGTAGTCGAAATGTTCATAAATTATTTCAAAGATTCATTAAAATTGTGTGGCTTATATTTTTCTTAATAACTATCAATCATATGTTTTGATATCAAAATAATCAGCATTTGTTCGTTCTGTGCGAACGTAATGACAGAATTGTGAAGTAAAAAGTTACAATACAGAAATCGAAATCGATGCAATTTTGTAATTTTACAACTAGTTTAGTCATTGATTTTCGCATTGTTTTTCGGTTGAATTTCCATATGATTATAATTTTTAGTACAATATCAGTAATAATTTTTTTTTTAATAATCAAATTGAACATAACAATAAGGTTACCTACCAATATGTTATTCACTTTTAAACTGAAAAAATATACCTATGTCTGGTACAAATATGAAACTTATTAACATATCATTTAAAATTTAATAGATATTTGTAAGTCCTCATCAGTTGTCTTGCTTAACCTGTCATCAGTATCGGTGTTTGTTTCGCTAACATTAAACTTATATTAGGAAGCACTTGTTCAAATAAAAATAGATTGTTTTGAAACTCCATATACCTCTTATATAAATATTATTAAACTAAAATAAATACAAAAACCCTTCAAAATCATATATTTGTGGATATTATGATCGGTCAAATTTCGAATTATCGATTATGTCAGTTCAGATTTTCGTTAGATGATGTATATATATGTTAAGAACATACAACTCCTACCTGTTTGTCATGCAACACCACGGATGAAAACTTGTAAAATTCGAAAGACGAATTATAGTTTTTAAAATTGTTATTATTTTAACAGATTTGTTAAATTTTTATATTATACATATTTTTTTTCTAACAAAAATGATTTGTTTTTAATTTTTTATATCGAAAATTTGAGTGAAATTGTCTATTAAACAATCTAATTATTGTAGGATATAACTAGTCAAATTTTTTTATCTTAGTTTCATAATTCCAAGATCATTAAATAATTTACAAAAGCTATAAAACAATAATGTTAGCGTAACGCTAAAACGATACCAATCATGTTACAAAATATAGCAATACCTATGACTGGTTTAACGAATTTCTGAAAAACACCTTCATAATAGTCTTATTGAGACAAAAGTTCAAACCCCTCTTAAAATTCAGGATAATTATTAAATATGCTATTATGTAATAAAAGTTGTATATATATTATATAATTATGAAAATTTAGAACCTAAAACCCCTCCCAAAATATTTTTTTGTGTACGCGCCTGATTTTATTTATTAGTGTTTAATAGGTACACACTTCTAGAATCCGTATATTTAATATTTCGGACAACGTACTTTGTGTACACCGTGAGGTCCGGTTAACTGCATTTACTATTTATTACTTTGTATGCATAAAACACGATAATATGCATTCAAATTTAAACCAAAAAAAATTAATATGGGGGAGAAGCAATTTTTCTTAAAATATACGCTAAACTATAAATGATTAACACCTTTACGGCCGTATGATTAATTTCATGACGTAACGATTCCGCGTTAACGAGCGTCATATTATCCTTTTATATTGTTCAACGCTAGATGACAAAGTTAACGGTCGACCGTCGAGGAACCATTTTCAGACCGTAAAAACAGTTTTGCCCATTTTGTCGGAAGGCCATTGCGATCTAACTCAACGTAACAATAATAATAATAATAATAATATGGACCCGCTTTCAGTACCGATTTGATCGCGCGTACACGTTTAACATACGCACAGGCGCAGGATTCGAATTTTCCAAAAAAAAACGACTTCCGTGCGTAAGCGTAAAATTTTAGTTAATCGAGCTCACGATTTTATTAGTCTACACTGCTGGATGATGACAATGAATCGAACCACGTTATTCACAATAGCTGCTGAATGAAGGAAAACTTTATAATAATAAACAAAATTGCAATTAACTGCGTAAAACAACACTTACTAAAACACCGGCACAGCACAAAAGTGAACGAAAACGTGGTTTTATAAAAATGTTGTAAACGGACGATGAGTTCACAAACTTTGCATG